GGGGGGGGCGTCCTTAAATGACCAAAACTGATGATAGGACGTTAAACAATACTAAACCAAACCAAACCAAACCAACTTGATTCCAAGCGTCGAGTGTAGGTTTTATCAACCTGTGTCTTTGTGTGCTGCAGATAGTTTGTATTTAGACCATGGCAGACATATTGATTCCCCGTGTATATACAAGTATACATAAGTCATATAATATATCGGTCAACACATTCACTAAAAACATACATTTGGGGTGAGAAGTTGGATATGGCGAGATCGGAATGAATGGTTGGTGGTTCCATTCAGGATTGGATTAATTAATACTAGTAAATTACTGACAAATATTGAGCTCTATTAAAATCCAAAAATCAATCCCTCAGTTGGTATGCTTGTTTCTCCCACAACCACTGTAGGTTTCCTCACTCATGAATTATTGGATAAATCTGCTAGGAGTTGGTAAACATTTTTGGACCCTGGACGTGATTTCATTGGTCAATCTTTGATTAATGACGTCATTTAACTATGCTTTTTAACGTCATTTTCCATTGTGACGTCATACTCTATAATAATAATATACAGCATTTGATATAGCGCCCTATCTAGCTAACATGAGCCACTTTTCAGCGCTTTACAGTACATAGATATACAATTTATACAATTAGCATGTATCATTACATTTTTGAGTAATTCGCAGGAGCTGCCTTATCAGGCGCTTACTACTAGTCCTATGCCATCTGGCTGATATCTCCTTATGTGTGTATGCCTGCGTGTGTGCTGGAGAAGTAATGTGTTCTGTTTGAAGTGGGACCGTGCTTCCAACGACATCATTTATAGTGCCACCTGCCTTGAGAGCACAGATACCGCAACATCCACCCCAGACCAATGTATACTCCACCTGGGTTGTTGGAGTTAAGTGGGCAGGAGAAAAACACTTTCTCTGAATATCCATGCATGTGACGACTTCGGAGATCGATCATCGGCCGCCTGCATAGGAGGCCGGAGTGTTAACCACTCGACCAATCAGCTCTATGGCAATTGTTCATCAATTTGAACACACATAATGTGTTTTCCAACGGCAAAATGTGGTTTTTCAGATAAAATACGAACGTTATGAGAGAAACAGGTCCCCAACCTCGTGATGATTAGTCATCACGTTTATCTAACTAGAGTTATTAAATTTTCAAATTGTTTAAGACACTCGGTAAACCTCATGTCTTTATACAATTTGAAGATTAAATAACTCGAGTAAGATAAACATGATAACCATTCACCACTCGTTGGGGAACCTCTACATCTGCAATATTTCATAGTTATAATTTACCGATTACACGTGGTTCAGACATGTACACATTGATGCAAAGACGATCGGTTAGAGTCACACTGACGTAAATTGTCGGCAAGTCAGTTGTATGACTTTAAATTGATTATCATTCGATATTTTTTGAATGAGAGATGTCTGCTTTTTGAACGCGCCAAGTGGATTAAAATCTTACTGTAACCTCTGTTTGACATTCTGAAGTGCTCCCCCTGGTGTCAATAGACACGAAATATTTTCCCGACACATCAATGTCACATAAACGCTTAATCAAACACCTAACAGGTACGTTATTTCAAGATCAACGATGAACACGAGTCCTTAAACAGCAGGGAGACATTCTTTGAAAAACACAAATTCTTTAAGTATGCAGATTAAAAAAAAGTCGTCATAAAAGCTTGGTAAGGACGGAACGTAATGGTCTATAACGATCACAATACTAGGGTAAGCATTTTTAGAGATTGATAGTCACTTTTCCCTGAGTGATCTATCACGTAAATGCTGAAGTTGTCAAATCTAACATTTAGAACACAAATTTGATTGAAAAATTGAAACTCGATACATAAGTGAATATGTGACGTTATCACTCTTGTATTTTTGTTTTTCTAGTTTTCAGAAAAGTACAACAAACATAAACATTTCAATAAATAGAAATATAAATAACGACAGAGCTCGGACTGCGGAAATAGAAATATAAATTACGACAGAGCTCGGACTGCGGAAATACCATTGCTGGTTTTCTTCGGCGTGTTACTAAATTTCAGATCAGTACACATGTTCATATTGCCAATACTTGTTTGAGGAACAACAGCAACACGGCGTATCTAAAGTGGACCTCGGATGTTAAGAACACTCACCGTACCTCCGTAGAAACTTAATTCTACACGGAAACTCCGCCCGGAAGTCGGTCAGTCGCCATATTGTCCGTTAACAACATATAGACGCTAGCACTCTCTGTTTGTTAACAAAACGTCTCAATCATGTAGTTGCAGATGTATGAAAGGCACAGTATCTGCTTTTATTGTGGTAAACAGAAGGGCACGGCAACATTGATGTAAGTAAGGGCCGAGCCGCATAATGGAGCTAAGGGTTGGGCAAGGGATAGAATAAAATGGAGGAAATGATAAGGCGAGGGGGCAGGATAATGATGTAAGGGTTGGGTTAGGGATAGAATAATGGAGGTAATGATAAGGCGAGGGGCAGGATAATGGAGGTAGGGTTGGGCAAGGGATAGAATAAAATGGAGGAAATGATAAGGCGAGGGGTCAGGATAATGGAGGTAAGGGTTGGGTAAGGGATAGAATAATGGTGGAAATGATAAGGCGAGGGGTCAGGATAATGGGGGTAAGGATAGGGCCAGGGATAGAATAAAATGGAGAAAATGATAAGGCGAGGGGCAGGATAATGGAGGTAAGGGTTGGGTAAGGGATAGAATAATGGTGGAAATGATAAGGCGAGGGGTCAGGATAATGGGGGTAAGGATAGGGCCAGGGATAGAATAATGGTGGAAATGATAAGGCGATAGGGCAGGATAATGGAGGTAAGGGTTGGGCAAGGGATAGATTGATGGAGGTAACGATAAGGCGAGGGGGCAGGATAATGGAGGTAAGGGATAGAATAAAGAAGGTAATGCTAATGCGAGGAGCAGGATAATGGGGGTAAGGATTGGGTAAGGGATAGAATAATGGAGGTAATGATAATGCGAGGGGTCAGGATAATGGGGGTAAGGATTGGGTAAGGGATAGAATAAAGGAGGTAATGATAATGAGAGGGGTCAGGATAATGGGGTTAGGATTGGGTAAGGGATAGAATAATGGAGGAAATGATAAGGCGAGGGGCAGGATAATGGGGGTAAGGATTGGGTAAGGGATAGAATAATGGAGGTAATGATAAGGCGAGGAGCAGGATAATGGGGTTAGGATTGGGCAAGGAGGCAGGATAATGGGGGTAAGGATTGGGTAAGGAGGCAGGATACTGGGGGTAAAGCATAGGGCGAGGGGCAGGACACTGGAATAAAGGGATCGAGTGGACGGGGTTGGGCGGGGATGGAGGTATTGGGCGGGGACGAGGGTATTGGGCGGGGACGGGGATGGTTACAGGGGTGGAGCATGAACGGGGGTGGGTGGGGACGGGGATGGTGACAGGGGTGGAGCATGAACGGGGATGGGCGGGGACGGGGGTGTAAGGAGCAGGCAGGCTGTTATGACAGATTGTGAAAGGGGTCCCCGGACAAGACACAATATAAAGGTCAAATACTGACGGAAACCGTACATACATTGAACAACAACGTACATAAGCATACAGTTATGTCAATGAAAATTAACATACATTTATTTGAATGTATATAAACATATATTTATGATAAGTAAACAAACATACATTTATGTCTGTAACGTTAGACGAGCGTCCGTTGTGTAGTTTGGCTAATGATCACAAATAGTTATAGAAATAGTTTAAAGAGTAAATAATTTATTTACAACAAGAATATATCAAAAACAAGTCACACTCTCACATTCA